CGTGACAGAGAGTGCTAAATTTAGACCAAACTGACCATTGAACGAACATTGCCTGAATGTTGTTGTCTTTTCTTTCTATAACGATGATAAGCACGCATGAGATAACGACTTACTTTCATTGCAATCTTTAATATTTTTTTCCCCTTACCATTTGACACAGTTAATCGTTTTCCTTTTGAATTTCATTTTAACAAGATTTCTGAGACCACAGTACTTCCCATGTTAAATGCGTATTTATAAGAAAAGTCAAATGTTGGAGGTTGTTTCGTTATCTAACACGATAGAAGTTTTTAGAACTCCAATAATAATAATAATAATAATAATAATAATAATACTAATAATAATAATAATAATAATAATAAAAATAATAATAATAATAATAATAAAACATTAATATTAAAGCGCATTTTCAAAAACGTAGCTCAATGCGCTTTACATTGAAATACCCATTTTCAAAACTTTTCTTACTACTTCCTTTCTTCTCATGCATTATACAGTAAAATGTATGCACACCACACACACACACACACACACACACACACACACACACACACACACACACACGGACTATTTTCATTCAGACGTAGGCACAGAACAACTATAATAAAAAATAACGCTTAAAGCTTATGAAGGATAGGCCTGTAGGAATAGAAAATGCTTAAGATGTCTTTTGAAGCTATCAAGTGCTCTTGTTTATCTTAGTTCCAAGTGTAATATGTTCCATATAAATGGACCAAGATGTAGGAGGCAGGAGCCTTCACGTACTTAATCAACACTCAGAATTTGGTGGTTTAGGCCAAGTGGACATCTTTTTCCTGGTCTGATGCCCTGGCATTGGCACGTTTATGAAGGCCATTTGGGAAGTAGGCTTTGACCCTGCCTAGAGGGGCTAACTCAGACTGAGAGGAATAGATCCCAGAAAAAAGATTGAGAATAATATTCGATAAAACCCTCTCCTCCCCCCACCCAACTCGGTAATGGAACTCGGTAATCGAACTCGGGTCTCCTCCTGGGTGCGAAGTGCCTAACCGTTACTCCACAAGCATTGGTTACATTAAATTGAAAACGGACTCTGTGTGTCTGCAAACCCGTGATCAAATCCCTCCCGTGGGTTAACTATGGCTTACATTGGGTAATAGGACATACATTTATTAGGAAACTAGATTATTTTGAGACAATTTTTAATATGCTGGCAAAATAATCGCATATTCTAACCCGAACAAAAAAGCTTGTAATCTTGGATAGACACGAAATCGTAATTTTACTTTTAACATAGGCAGCGCGGGAGAACAAGAATTAGGTTACTAAGTGGGTATATCGAAACTGGAACACCATACTTAAGTACTTAAATGTATTGTCACCTCAGGCTTCATTATCATCATATAACAATACAACCATTATCATGAATTTCCCAGCTTAGATTTTCACCCCCCCCCCTTATACAGTCTACCCCATCCCCCCATATTCTCTTTCCTCCTAAAGGGATATCACAGATACAAATCTGGCTTGTCCAAATTTATGTCCAAGTATTGTTTTCTCTTGGTAAGTGTTTTACCGTGTTTGCAACCTCAAAATGCCAAAATGAGCGCCCGGAAAACGTTAAACATAATATTCCGTTTGGTAGGAATTTTGAATTTAGCCCGGGTGGCGTCCACAGCCTACTCTTCTCGATATTAAGGCCACCAAGGGATCTTTAACGTGCTCAACTTGCATGCAGGACCTCCAAGATTTTTTGCTAGTATCTTAGAAGACTTGGTGTTAGATCTCACCTACCCTAAGATTAGGCTGAAAGACAGCAGTAAGAAGGAGCCAAGTATAGCAGTGTCAGAGGCCAAGAGGTGGGAGCAAGGGGGAGGTGGATAGAAAGTGGAGACGAAAATAGACGACATAACATGGTTAGAGAGCAGGAAAGGAGGTGAAAAGCTAGCATTTTAGAGATAAAAAATTTCCGTCGCTGCAAGGTTTCGAGCCCACCAGGAACGAATGAATGAGAGGCGAACATCACAACCTCTAAGACCACGAGAGCCCCCCCCCCCCCCCCCCCACTCCCTGTCCAAAATCCACTTGAGCTCTTTCTGAACGTATCTCAGATATATTGGCAATGATGGGGAGCTTCAGTTTTGTTTCATTTCAGGAATATCTATCATTTTAAGTACTTGTTGTTATTACTAGAAAACTTGCAAAGCATGTAAGAAATGAAAACATTAGTTTCACTTAATTTGGCGACAAATGAGTGAATTCATTATTGCAGTCTTGCATCATTATGGGTTTGCAAAATACTGAGGAAGTATTCTGTCCATCTAGCAGAGCCTCCCATTTTACTAGACAAGTGGCTGGGAATAGAAGCAGAAGGTCCGTCCGCCCGGTGCCGCCCCGCTCGCGCGCCAGACGGTCTTCGTTCGTGAATGTACTCCCCACAGCCATGCAGCTTCTAGGCACGAAGATGACTACGTAAACTTGGGTCTATGTCCTCCATGGATACTTGGGGGTGCTGTCGACAGGTTGTGCTCCCGGATTCCACCCTCGACCTCCTTAGGCTTCTGGATTTTTTAACAAGGTTGTCTCTCTTAGATCCTTCGTGTTCTGTTCCTGGACCGTGAAGTCTTGGCTTAACAGGATCACCCCGAGAAGGGTGTTTCGCTGATGATGTGTTTGTATACAGGCAAGGCAAGAACCACCATGTTACAGCAGAGCGAGTAAGGGAAGAACTCGACAGATTCGAACAGTGATGTGAAGCAAACAACAGGAAACTGCACCCAGACAAAGCCTGCGCACTGTGGTGTACACTGAATAACCTTGCAGTGCACGATAACATGCCAAGTGTCTCGATTGGAGGCAAAGTGCTGAAGAGGGAACACACACTGAAGTACTTGGGCATCATGTTTGATCACACCCTCTGTGGCAAAGATCACATCACGAGAACAATCTCCAGGGTGAGAAAATGCCTAACAGCCCTTAAGAAGGAATGAGGGCAACCATGGGGTGCACACGAGACACATCACCTGAAGCATTGAGATACCTCCTAACTTCCCATGTGCAGATGAGAGGCACAAACTGGCACAAGTTCAAGCCTTTTTACAAGTCAGCGCAGACTAGACGAACCCCCTACATAAGAACGTGGGATTGCAGATGACATCAAGGCTAAAGAGGGGAACAGAATGGATTACTCATGCCACGAACACCATCAACGAGTGCTGCCAGATACAAGACATCGGGAGAGGCAGGGATTGGGTCGTGGTCGAAGATGCGCTCGGAGAGTACACAACGGTGAAGGCAACTTTGGGTAGAAAATGTTGCGACTGGCCACTTGGAGCTACAAATGCTGAAATTGAGACCCTGATAGAAGAGCATAGCGAACATGGAGATGCTGTGATCTTCACAGATGGATCAATCAACAGAGGAGTCAAATCGGGCTGGGCCTTCAAAGTAAGAGTTGATGGGGTAGTTGTGAAAGAGCGCACTGGCAACATCCAGTTTGAGTATGGAGATATAAGCCATAAGTAAGGTTCTACACTGGATCAAGAACACAAGCCATCAGCGAGCAGCAATCATTACTGACTCTATGAGCACACTACAAAAGGTACAAAAAGGCCTGCTGTTGGCGGACTGGAAGGCTACGATCAGGGAGAGCAGCCTGGAAAGAGTGGCCTGGATCTTCTGCCGGGCCACGCAGTGGTTGGTAACCGGCAACGAGAGAGCAGACAGGCTGGCTGGAGAAGCAAAAGTGGGAGGGAATTTGACACTTGACCCACCAACCGTCCTAACCGCTGTGGGAAAAAAATGAGGAAGAGTATAGCAGATAGCGGTTCCCACACCGAAGGTAGATTGAAGGAGGAGATCCAAAGGAGAGAAGGGAAACACTGCCACCTGTGAGGACCAGTCCGACGGATCTCCAACCAGATTATGATGGAGACTGTAAGCAGACAGACTCTGGGATGGATCTTGAAAGGGGGGGGGGAAGCAGAGATAGACATTTCCGACTGTAGTGACCCCAACACTGAGGACAAGGTGTGACAAGGTATAGCCTCCACAGAACGATGTAACCGAACTCGATAGAAATATCTTAACTAAAAAAAAAAGAAGGAATATTGCTTACAAATAAAAATATAATCATAAGAAAACATTCCTGAATTATACTTTTGGCCTGTATTTGATTACTATACGAGGGGGGGGGGGGGCAATACATCTTTGGTCTGGATATGCAGGAACAATGGTAGAGTAATGAAATTTCGCCAGCCTTTAGACAAAGTCTTTGGAACACACCATTCACATTTTCGAGAAAATCCGACAATAATAAGGCACTAGTCAGCGAATTCAATGAAACCATGTACAAAAACATTTGTTTTTCTTAGCTGAAGCTGTGTCATGGAGACTGTTGAATATCCCTCAGTTATCAAGTTTTAACACTTGCGCGGAAAATCCCATTCGGACATTTTTCAGGAAATGGTCCACGTTTATGGTGACAAATGTCCTCGTTATAATACTGTGACATACTGGGTGAGAAAATTCAAATCTGGATTCATGTCGGTGAGGGATGAAGATCGTGAAGTGCGCACATCCTTTAATTATAATAGATAGCATTTGTATAGCGCTAATCCCCGCTCAACAGCAAGCTCTATGCACTTCACAATCTATACTATTATCCCAGCAGACCTTTATGGTAACTGAAGAGAATGTTTTCATAGTGATGAAACTGGTTCTACAAGACCAACGTACAACAGTTAAACAGCTCTCAAATGAAACGAGGATCAGTGTAGGGTCAATTGAAACGATTCTCCATTACCATCTTACCATGAATAAGGTGTCTGCGCGCTGGGTACTCCGCCTTTTGACAAGTGAGCAAAAGAAGCAGTGGTTTGAGTCCTGCAAAACTCTCCTTCGAATTGAGCCCAATGACACAAATTTCTTTTTTAAACATAGTGACTATGGATTTAAAATGGATTTATCATTTTGATCCACAACAACAAAATAACCGTCCATCATGCAATGGAAAACCCCTT